TCGCCATGTACAAGGTCTGCTGGACCACCACCGGATGCACCGATATGGATATTCTGGCCGCCTTCGACGCAGCCATACACGATGGCGTCGATATCATCTCAATATCGATCAGCGGCGGTAGCAATTACGTCGAGGACGGTATCTCCATCGGTGCGTTTCATGCCATGAAGAAGGGCATCATCACCGTGACTTCCGCCGGCAACAGCGGCCCATCTGCCGCCACCGTTGCCAACCACGCGCCGTGGATTTTAACGGTGGCGGCCAGCGGCATCGATAGAAAGTTTATCAGTAGAGTGGAGTTGGGCAATGGGAAGAACATCTCTGTAAGTTTCTTTGCATGAATACTTTGTTTAGTTCTAAACTAATTAATTTTTGTTGATTTTCTTTACTAGATCTTGTGAAATAAATTTGGGATTTAAAAAATATAGGATAATTAATTATTCACTAGTAGTATTATTTACTTTCAAATGACATTTAGTTAATATTTTAAAAAACTTAATAACATAAAAAATAGTAGTTAAAGTATAAATTAAGTTATTGTGTCAATATCTAGTCCTAGCCAATTTTAAAGATTCTTTATGAACTTTTAATTTTTTAATTTAATATGTTAAAAAGAAAAATACTTAGCTTATTGGTCGGTATCAAGTTTTTAATGGACTGTTTTTGACAAATAGGAAAGAAAAAATGCATAGAAAAAGAGATATTTTTTTCTCTTTATCAAAGCTGTCAAAAAGATGGGTACCAACTTGTAAGCATCCAATTATTGTTCAAATGTTAATGACATTAACATTATTAGATAAATGTTGAAATGATATGTTGATTGAACCAGTAAATAATGATTTAGCACAATGTGACAACAATGATACCGAAGAGATTAGCGTCATCCACGAATAAAAATAAAAGTTGAAGTAGACATAAACATTCAATAAGGCGAACCAGTTGAATACATTTTTGAATTGAAATTATTGATTCATTGATCATATTTTATATTATCTAGTTGGCCATTTTTTTTTCTTTTTCAAATGAATTGTCTCTACTAAATCCTATTACACGGTCTTCACAAAAGAAAAATAAATGTCATAGTACACATGATCTCAAAAAAATGTCCATTTTATTTAGAAAAAATAAAAAATCTATATTTTCATTAAAATAAGCTTTTTTATGTTCCTAAATTGTACTCAAATAACATCAATAAATAACATCATTCTGTTTCATTTATTATTATATTTTAAAATGTATTTTAAAAAATTTATGGTCCTTTAATACAAATATTTACATTAATGATCTTAGCACTCGTTGGTGGTGGCATAATAGTTTCATGGCTCAATGGGTATCCACCTCCTTGGTTCAAACCCCACAGGACACGTAGAATATAATTTTTATTATTATGTATTAAACGTTTTCTCATCATGTCACACTCATTAGTAATTGGCATGCTAGGTAGATCAACCGGAATATAGTTCAACTATTATTTCAACTCCAATTGAAAGTTTAAGAACTTGGAAGTTGTTTTATGGTTTTATGGTATGGATTGTACACATGCAGGGGATAGGAATAAACACATTCAATCCAGGGCAAAAGTTGTACCCTTTAGTGGATGGACGTGATGTGGCGAGGAACTCAGATAGCAAAGACAGAGCAGGGTATTGCGCAGAGGGCTCACTTGATCCAAAACTGGTGAAAGGAAGCCTTGTGTTGTGCAGATTGATGTCTTGGGGCTCTGATTCTGTTGTCAAATCACTTGGGGCCGATGGCGTCATCGTTCAAAGTGATCTGTTTCTTGACAATGCCGAAATCTTCATGGCCCCAGCCACCATGGTTAGCGGCTCCGTTGGTGCTTCCATTGAGACCTATATCAAGTCCACCAGGTAATCAACAACTTCTCTTTCGTTTCAATTTGGTTAAATCTCGATGCTCTGTTTATTATAGTTCTTTTGGTTCGTTGATCTTGGTTGAATGCCATTTTTTGAGGTTCTGAGCTTGATATCATTATTGAGATTCATGGATTTCATCTCAAAATCAATTGACAATTGGGAGGAGTAGTTCATATATATTATGTTGGTTATATTTTCAATATGGGATCTTTAACTGTGATAGGATCCACCTTTTCTCTATTCAACATGTTTTCAATCTATAAAAAAATCTACCGAAATGAAATTAACTACTAAAATTATGGAATCAAAGTTGTTTGAAAACTTTTGTTTTTGTTTGAAAACAGAACACCAAAGGCAGTGATATACAGAACAAGGGAAGTGAAAACAAGAGCTCCATTCGTGGCTTCCTTCTCATCCAGAGGCCCAAACCCAGGCTCCAACCGCATTCTAAAGGTAAAAATGAAAATCAAGAAAAAAACTTAAAAAGTATATTAAGTACAAAGTACAATGTCACGTTGATATTGTGATAGAATTAATCAGATTAAAAATATAATTAGGAATCAAAATTAAAAGTATACCGACCAAAATAAACTAAAACTAAAAATACATGAAAATAGTATTTTAATTTAATGGGCGCATGCAGCCGGACATTGCAGCTCCGGGAGTGGACATATTAGCGGCGTACACACCACTGAAGTCGCTGACGGGGCTGAAGGGGGACACCCAATTCTCCAAATTCACGCTCATGTCCGGCACTTCCATGGCCTGCCCCCATGCCGCCGGAGCCGCCGCCTATGTCAAGTCTTTCCATCCCCATTGGTCAACTGCCGCAGTTAGATCCGCCCTCATCACCACTGGTACTCTCCTTATATCTTTTCCTTTATCTTCTAAAACATAACAGTAATCCATCCATCTAATTTTACTTAATTTCGATCTCCCATTTTGATTCTAATAAATTGATGCTGTTTAAAGAAATAATGAAAGATGATGGATAAGACTTTGCAAAATGTGTTGCGTGGGGGAGTTAGGTAGTTGGATAAAATAAAAAGGAAGGGTTAAAAAAAAAGAAAAAAAAATTTAATAATGCTTAGGTTATAATAAGATTAATTATAGAACATTTAACATAATTGAGTAAATACGACATTGAGTAGGATTCGAACTCTCAACTTTATCCTGTGTCTTGATCCGTTGATGATAATAATTCTTTCAATTTTCGTTATGAAGCGAGACCGATCAACCGCCGAATGAATGTGGAAGGGGAGTTCGCATACGGTGCCGGAAACATAAATCCGGCGAGTGCAGTAAATCCCGGCTTAATCTACGACCACGGCGAGATGTCGTACATCCAATTCCTCTGCAAAGAAGGGTACAGCGGATCTTCAATCGCCGTCCTCGCCGGATCCAACCCCATAAACTGCTCCTCCCTAATCCCCGGACTCGGCTACGACTCGGTCAATTACCCAACGATTCAACTCAGTCTAAGAAGCACCCAACGCCCGACGGTGGCTGTGTTCAAGCGGCGAGTCACCAACGTCTACCGCGCCGTCTCCGTCTACAACGCCACCGTCACGGCTCCCCACGGGGTGGAGCTCACGGTAGCTCCGGCGACTCTGTCCTTCACTCGGCTGCTTCAGAAACGGACCTTCAAGGTCGTTGTGAAAGCAAGTCCAATGCCGCCGGCGAAAATGGTGTCCGGATCCTTGGTTTGGAAAGACGGCCGCCACGTCGTCAGAAGCCCGATCGTTGTTTACAGCCCGTCCCAGTGAGAATAATGTACGTACGACATGTAGGATGCTTGTACGACTTGTCGAGTAGCAAATAATGCTTTTGGAGATGTATTTTTTATTATGAACTTAGATTTTGGACACTACATTTGCATGGGATGTGGCATAATTGATGGGAAATAGTTGTTTGAATTAAGTTATTAATCTAAAATCGTAGCCAGTAAATTCCACCGTTATTTATATAATTTGGTTAAAAATTACATTGCGCCTTATACATACTTTCTCTTGGTAACGATTTAGTCCATGAACAGTTTCTATACTTTCAAATTAGTAATAATTTAGTCCTTAAAATTTAGTTTGCAACAATCCAATCCCCATGAAATCTCATCAAAATTAAATGTCGATTTTTATCCTATAACAATTTTAGTCTGTCTAATTTATAAATACTTATCGGTTTATCGATCTACACATATAAGAAACTTACTTAAAATTTTTAAGATAAGAGCTATATATAGTCAGGACTTTAAACTACAAGACTAAATTGTTACGTACTAAAATTCAGGGACTAAATCATTAGTTCAAATGAAAGTATAGAGACTAAAAGTATTCTTTAACCTTATAATTTTGTCAATAGCAACTTCAAAAATGCACAAAAATATCTACACTTTTCATAACTTTTATTTTTATATATATGAGTATGGCAATCAGGTTGTAGTAAATCATCAATATCATTATCAGTTGACGCGTCCACATCGTCCGATTCGTCATTTATAAAATCATCCACATTGCTCGCATCTATGTTTCTATTGGACTGTTCTCGACCCTCAACGACAATAGGATCAACATCATCTCGACGCAATGATCAACTATCTTGTGTGGATTCATCTATTTTGATCCTAGGTCCTACTTCTAACAACGAAATTTGATCATTTTCAACGTCTTCTTGTTCTGGAATATCCCATACACGTTTATTTAGAATATGTTGCACAATTTTCTAATTATTACCAAGTTTGGGGTCATCCAAATAAAACACTTGTTGAGCTTGTCCAGCGAGAATTAAGGGGTCGTCGGCATACCAATACTTAGACGTATTAATCGACTTAAAACCTAAGTCAACTCGAATTTTATTCTTCTTAGAGTCTGTGTCAAACCATTTGCACTTAAAAAGTATGACACGTGTCCCCATAGCATAATCTAACTCCCAAACATCACTCAAGACACCATAAAAGTTCATGTCATCCCCTTCTCCTCCACACACTATGACCCCACTATTTTGTGTCGTTCGATGACTATCGCGTGCTATATTATGAAAACGTARTCTGTTTACAATACAACCACTATATGAACGTGCAGTTAGTGACGACCCTAACGCAAGTGAATAAAGATCATCATCTAATTCGCCTTGTTCCCGTAATGTCAAAACCTGTAATAGATCATAACAAAATACTTAACGATTTCGTTTTGTGTTCATCTACATTCAAACCCTAAAAATCAATATTACCTTTTTTTTTTTAACCAATCAGGAAATTGTGCACTGTGTCGTTCATATAGGGCAGGAACATTATCTCCGGGAATTCGAATTGAGCTCAAATGTTGACTACAATTCCAAAAAATGAGAAGAACAACATTTGTTTTATACGTACTAAGTGCGAAATTAAAATGAATGTAGCATAAGCCGAACTTACTCGCGATACGACTCTATCTCTGCACAGTTGTTCAGTACGTACCAGTGTGCAACTTTTCTTTCAATGACGGATAATGTTTTTGAAGTTGATGCCCTAGGAGGACATGCACTAAACCTGAACACGACAAAATGTTCACAATTTTTATAACCGACAAAAGTATCATCGTTGCGTTCATCTCTATTGAATCTCGTTTCAATTCCACTCAAATACAATGAGCAGAAAGTCAACGATTCATTCATAACGAATGACTCGTCTATCGAACCCTCAGGACGAGCTCTATTATTTTTTTGTGCATATAGTTTTAAGGTTTGGAGACTTCGCTCGATAGGGTACATCCTACTATAACTAACTGGCCCCAGAATTTTTGCTTCGTATGGTAAGTGAACTGCAAGATGTACCATAACATCAATAAATGTTGGTGAGAATATTATCTCCAACTTACGTAGTATGATTATAATGTCAGATTGCAATCGATCCAAATCACTGATGCGTACTGTCTTTCCACATATATCACGAAAGAAGTTACATAGCTCAACGTTAGTCGTACCCATAAACTTTGGTACATATGCTCGAATGACAATCGGTAAGAGTGGTTGTAGTAAAACATGACAATCATGAGTTTTCAACCCCCATAGTCTTCCGTCCTCTGCGCTCACACATCTCGATATATTTGACATAAATCCATCGGGAAACTTAGCTGATTTCAAGAATTTTGCAAAGCTTCACCCTCTCAACAGCAGTCAATGTATACGTAGCATGTGGTTTTACAACTTTATTCCCCTCTTTTTGTAAGTGTAAATCTTTTCGAATTTTTAAATCTTCCAAATCCAGAAGCGCATTGATCGTGTCTTTTGTTTTCCCATCAATATTTAACAAAGTTCCTACTAGATTGTCGCATATGTTCTCGATATGCATCACATCCAACTTATGTCTTAACATAAGTTTCGACCAATAGGGAAGTTCGAAGAATATACTTTTTTTCGTCCAATTTAAATCTCGCTTTCTTTTACTCTTTTGTTTGGTTGGATTCTTACAAAAATCTGGAAAATTCAGTGTATTTACTTATTGAAGAATCGCATCTCCATCCATTGACACTGGTGGGGGGTGTCATTCTAACTTTCCATCATGCAGTCTACTCCCATGCCAACTATGATTTTGAGAAAGATAACGTCGATGTCCCATGAAACAAATTTTGTTTCTTATTCGAAAAAATGAATTATCCTCTTTACAGATGAGACATGCTTGGTATCCCTTTGTACTCTATCCGGACAAGTCGCCATATGCTGGAAAGTTATTAGTGGTTCATAAAAGAGCTGCGTGTAGTTGAAAGTACTCACCACTTGCACAATCGTAAGTACGAACCCCAGTATCCCATAACTCTTTCAACTCTTCAATTAATGGCTGTAAGTAAACGTCGATATCTTTTCCAGGTGACTTTGGCCCATGAATAAGCAATGACATTAATAAATTACTTTCCTTCATGCACTTCCAAGGAGGCAAATTGTATGGAATAGGTACCACTGGCCACATGCTATACGAATTGTTCATATTCCCAAACTAATTAAACCCATCTGAAGCTAGTCCCAAACAAACATTTCATGGGTCTGAAGCAAATTGAGGAAATGTGCTATCTAGATGATTCCACCCCAAAGCGTCAGCTGGATGTCGTAAGACACCCTCTGTCTCAACTCGTTTTTCTTTATGCCACCTCATTTCAGAAGCGAAATGTTTTGAAGAAAAGAATTGTTTCAATATTGGTATCAACGGAAAATGTCGTAACAATTTTTGGGGGACTTGTCAAGCTTTCTCATCATTGTTTTTATAACGAGGTTCACCACATACTGGACAACTTTGACATTYAGAATATTCTTTCCTGAATAATATACAGTCATACTTGCAGGCATGTATGGACTCATATGAAAGTCCTAAATCACGCAGTCTTCTTTTAGCCTCGTATGACGTACTAGGTATAGATGCAGTTATCGTAAATGCTTCATTTAACAATTCAAGTAACATATCAAACGATTTATTACTCCAATTGTTAATGACCTTGATATGCATTAACTTTACTAAGAAATTCAATAATGAAAATTTTGTACAACCTGGGTACAATTGATTACGCGCTTCATTGAACAACTGCTCGAAACTATTAGACGTGTCTCTTCCATGTTCGTTTGGGTGCATCTCAAAACAAAATTGTTCACCTTCTACATTTTCTTCTACCATTGGGTACTGTAAATCATTGAGAAGTCCAAACATATCACCATCCTCATTATTCATAACATTGTGTTCTCTATTTAATTCATTGTGGGAAGGAGTTTCACGTCTTGTATAACAACTTGAAAGGATTGGTTCTTCTCCATGGTATATCCATTGAGTATATGAATGTGATATTTCATTTATAAACAAATGTCTTTCTACTCCATCAATTGAAAGCCACTTTACATTCATACAATATCTATATGGACATCTTGTTGTCCCCGTATTGTTGACGTGAAGTTTTGCCAATTCTATAAAATGTTTTACTCATTGAACATACTCAGGCGATAATCTATCTCTAACCTTAATCCAATCCTTATTCATTATCTATGATAATACTCTTTAAAAAATCTCCAATTCAGTATAAATGGTCAATGTTGAATCCTAAAAGAATCAGACAAAAGATTACGTTCATTTTGTCATCAACCTAAGGATATTTTGAAAATAGAAATATCTAAAATTTGTTTTCAAACTAAGACGAGGATGCAAGGATGTGGTCATTATTGTCGATTATGAGTGTTGTAGTTAAAAGTAGAAGACTTTGAAAGTATTATTGAGGCCTTAGATATATTCGTAAGATATAGCCACTAAAAAAAGAACTAAAACATACTTAGAGAGGTCGTCTAAAAATCCTAGACCAACGTCGGTCACAACCAACATAATAATCATTCATAATTCATTATAAATTCAAAACTAACAACAATAAAATCACAAAGAATACATATAAATAAAACAATC